GCTCTGGGCTCGTTACCCCAGCTATGAACTGAAGTCCTGAGATGCAGAGGCCACCTGCCTTTTGTTGGTATCATGGTTCTGGTCAAGAGCTGGGGGAGGTTGGGATGGGGATGCCCCGCACTGGACCCTGGAGGAAAGCGCTTTAGCTGCAGCTCTGCTCAGTTATGGTTCACCTGCTGTTGCTTTTAAAACAGTGAACAAGCTGTAATTCTTTAAGGATTTTGATATTTTGACTGTAAATTTTGGAACAGTTTCAGAATTGGAAAAAGTTGCAAAAAGAATATGCAGAATTCCCAGGTGCCCTTCACCCCACTTCCCTGACATCCAGGTCACAGCACTGTGACCAGCAGAGTGAAGGTGGCCAACGTGGTACTGTGCTCTTGACCACTCTGCCAGTATTCCCACCAATGTCCTGTTCCAGATCAGGACCCCACATTGCATTTAGTTGTCATGACTCCTGGGTCCTCTGGCCTGGGACAGGTCCCTCAGTTTCCTTGTTTTTCCTGGTTTCTTAGGACCTTGACACTTCAGAAGTTCCAGCTCTATTCATCTATAGAGACTCCCTCAACTGGGCTTCCCTGCAGTTTCTTCATGATTAAGTTTACATTTTTTTTTTTGTTCAAAAGGACAATTGAGCATCCTTGCTGCATTCCTTCCAGAATGTGTGATGGCATCTCTCAGTCCCAGTATATGAACCTTGATCAGTGCATTCAGATGGTGTCTGCCAGGTTCTCCACTGCCAGGTCTTTTTTTTTTTAACCATGAGACTGTGTAAATACCCTGTTTCTCATCATTCTTTCTCCCACTAATTTAAGCAACCACTAATTTGCTGCTTTTTACCTGGAACAACTATCATTATGGTGTTTGCCCAGTGATGATCTTCTGATATCATTATTCTTTCTAGATGTATTAATTGGAAATTCTACGCAAGGAAAAGCACTCTCTTTTCCTCCATTTATGTATTTATTCAGTTAATTCCTTATATCTGTATGGATTCAGGGATATTTATTCTCTCCTGTGGGTCATAATCCATTCACATCATTGTGATTTTTTTGCCCGCATTGTTCTAGATTTGGCCATTGGGAACCTCTCCAAGTTGGCTGCTGTGTCCTTCTTATGCTTTCAGCACTTCTTCACTTTCTGGCACCACAAGATATTCCAGACTCACCTTGTATTTTCCTTGCCTCAGCCCTGACATTAGCCATTTTTCCAAGGAGCCTTGGTTCTTGGAAAGTAGGATTTAGAAACCAAGATCTGGGCATAGGAGGTGCTCATTGCTGCTAGGGTGCTCTTACCTCTAGGCCCTTCCCGGCACTTTTTACTGGCTTGGTTTTGATGAGAGTATCTATAGTTGGTTCTTGTGGCAGTGCCTGAATAGAATTGATGGTGATTGTGTTCTCTGGAATGTCAGTTCCTTTTGAAAATCTAAGATGTACTCAGCTTTTGTGTGAAAGTGTTGAAGAAAGGCCCACAGATGTATTCAGGGCATATTCTGCATAATTCTCTTAATAAACATTCACATTTGCTGTCCTTGTTCAAACATAGAATACCTTTTGTATGATCAGATCAGTGAGGGTTTTTCTGAATAGTTGATGTTTATTTTAAGATGCTGGATGTACAGCACTCAGAGCTCCTCCACCCTTTTGTTGTGTCTTCTGATTACTGTCTTCATGGAGGTGTCTGATTTCATGGGTTCTAAAGAATTCTAGAGATTAAGTGCCTTATCCAAGTGATAAGCTTTATATTTCTCCCGCTCCAGGATCTTTGCCTTGCTGGTACCCACATGCTGTGATAGTTTTATCCATGAGTTTCTGTTGCTGCTTTATCCATTACGCTAATTGAAGCCTGAGGTTCTAGGGAAGCCAGGCTGAAGTTCATGCACAAGTAAGAGCTGTGAAGGGCACTCGCTTGACCACAGCAGTCCCCTTCCTCCCTTTTCGGAAAGTGTCTGCATCACACAGGAGGCTGCCTGGTCACATGTAACCTTGTGCTTTGCACGTGGACTTTATTTTCCAGCACGGAAAAGACTTTGAGGCGATTCAGAACAACATTGCTCTGAAGTACAAGAAGAAAGGCAAGCCAGCGAGCATGGTGAAGAACAAGGAGCAGGTCCGGCACTTCTACTACCGCACGTGGCACAAGATCACCAAGTACATCGACTTCGACAATGGTGAGCATGTGTGGTTCCCAGCACGCTGCAGGCTCCTCCCTGGCGTTGGTCTCACCAGCTCTGGCTGGTGGGAGGCCTCGTCACTGTTAGTCTGGCTGAATTACAAGGAAGCTGGGCGTGTTTTTAACAGCTCTGAGTGCCCATGGCATCTGGGCACCACCAGGAGAGGGCACCACCATCCAGAAGCAGCTCGTCCAGTGCCTGCCCTTTTCCCGGTGGGGTTGGTGGGGTGTGGGTTGGGCAGGGCCTGGCGTGCCTCATCCCGGGGATCTTGTTGTCTATACTTAAATCTAGCTTGGTGGTGCCATCTTTAACTCACGTATCCAGGTCATCGCCAGGTGCGATGCTGACTTTCTGCTCAGAGCACTGTTTCCCATCAGTATCTGTGTCCTCAGGGGAGGCGTTGCCACCTCCTGTGTCACAGGCTGCAGGAATCCCGTGTCCCTGTTGTTCCTGCTGCTTGGTCCTCAGCTGTGCCCTCTTGAGTTGCGTTCTCGTTTCTACAGCTTCATGTGTAGCTCAGTCACTCCAGACACTGGCTTCCACTCACTGCACTTACTTCTGACACTTCTCTCCGAAAAAACATCGGTTCTGATCCAGAATAACTGTGGTGGCTGTGGTCACATCCCTCCCTCCTGGACCTTTGCCTGTGCCCTGTGGGTGTTCTCTTGGCTGGTCACTGTGTCTCAGCCTCCCCCTGCTGACCTGTCTGGCTCTCCTTGCTGGCTCTCCCTTGGGTCAGGACACCAGGGCCAGGAATTCCTCCTCCAGCTTTAGAAAGGCCCAGAGATGGTGATTCAAGCTGTCTCTTTCTGGAAAAGATCAGATGGTAAATACTTTCGGTCTTGGGGGTTTACAGTCTTTATTGAAACTATTTCACTCTGTTTTCTTAGCTCATTATAGACAACATGCAGAGGAGTGCATGTTGCTCCGTTCTAACAAAACTTTATTCTCAAAAAGAGTCCATGGACTAGAATCAGCCTGCGAGCCTTGGTTTGCTATTCTCTGCCATGGAGATCCTTTTATGCTGCCACTGGCCTGCGCCAGGGCTCTTGGACTGGGGGCTGAGCTCCAGATGGTCAAAGTTGTTACCTGACAGTGTCCCCTGACTGGATCCCCTTTGAATCTTTGTGGACACCTCTCGCTCGCCTGTCAGTCTTGCTGGTTCCACTTCTGAGCTTTTCTGTCCTCAGCACCTGGCCACCTTGGTTGTGGTATCCTAGACCAACGCTGCTCTCCTGCTGTCTGCCCTGCGCTTCCTAACTCACCGTTCACGTTGTGAGAGCCACACAACACGCCTGTCTGCCTGGCTCCCTTGCCTGAGCACCTCCCTCACCCCGCCAGAGGCCCCACAGCCCTTCGGGGGTGGGGTCACCTCCCTCCTGCTTCCCTACACTTCCCTTTGTGCCTCGACTCCTGCCACCCCAGCTTGGTCGTCCTCCCAAACCCTGTTCACCTGCCAAGACTCAGCTCCTGTGTCAATTGTCCCAGAAACCCTCCCCTGATTCCTCTCCTGTCCCCACTGCCGCCTGGACGTGGGCCAGCTCAGTGGTAGAGGCCCTTGCCCAGGCTTCCAGAGGATGAGCATCAGGGCTGACATCCTTCCCCCGTGCCCTCACTGTCTCCTAACCCTTACCTGCTCTACACACGCTGTGTTCAGATGCCTTTTCACAATGCTGCAGAGTCTTATGTGGTTTTTTTTAATTAAATGTTACTTCTTTGCGTTGACATACTACAAATGAATGCATTTTACCTTTCTTTTTAGATTTGCAAGTCACTTCTAGTGTTTTTAAATAACACAGGTGTGGAGATCTTTGTAGCACTTTTCTTTGGAAATGCTTTCTTCAGATAAATTTAGACAATTGAGATAAATTTATACTTGATTTTCTTTTTTTTTACCTTTTTTATTGAAATGTAGTCAGTTTACAGTGTTGTCTTAATTTCTGGTGTACAGCACGATGCTTCAGTCTTACATGAATTTACATATATTCTTTTTCATGTTCTTTTTTACTGTAAACTGCTTTAAGATATTAAATATAGTCTTTTGTGTTGTACAGTATAAACTTGTTTATCTATTTTATATATACTGGTCAGTATCTGCAAATCTTGAATTCCCATTTTATCCTTTCCCCACACTGATAACCATAAGTTTGTCTTCTATGTCTATGAGTCTGTTTCAGTTTTATAAATAAGTTCATTTGTCTTTTTTTTTTTTAGATTCCACATATGAGTGATATCATATAGTATTTTTCTTTTTCTTTCTGGCTTACTTCACTTAGAATGACATTCTCCAGGTCCATCCATGTTGCTGCAAATGGCATTATTTTATTATTTTTTATGGCTGAGTAGTATTCCATTGTATATGAATACCATATCTTGATCCAGTTATCTGTTGATGGACAGTTAGGTTGTTATACTTAAGTTTATTGCTTATTGTCTCATCATGAGCGCTGACTCTTCCCCGGGAGGACGAGCATCCCGCCCGCTTGCCTGGGTGTCTGTCTACTGCTTCCCTGTGTTTCCCATCTGGTTCTGTCCTTGATGAAGGCAAGAAGGAGTGGTGGTCTTGGAGCATGTCACTCACAGCAAGGCCCGTTTCACAGCAAGACCCCCACGAGCAGTGCCTTCTTTCTGTGGAGTTTAGGGTCCACTGAGGTCTCTCTGACCAGTGAAATGCTCTTGTTTCTCATGAGTCTTTCTAAATATCTTTCCTGCTCAAAAGCCTTCCACTGGCAACCTTGCGAGCATCCTCCCTCCGATCCTTGCAGTGACTCCCCATAACCAGAGGGCTGCCTCGGAGGAGGGCTCACGGCCCAACTCCAGTCCTTCAGGCTGCAGGGGCCCCCATCCAGCCTCACATCTTGATGGGGGAAATAACACACAAACAGAATGATGGGTCCAGCACCTTTTAAGAGTGTATATGTGTGTGTGTGCGTGCACGTGCGCAATTGCCGCTCTCTCTGGAGCCCTTGGAAGTGGGTTCTGTTACCATGCTCTGGGAGCAGTCCCTCGGTCTGACCCGCAGTCTTACACCAGTGCTGCTGTGTCTGCGTGTTTACTCTCCGTGTCTATGAGGCCATGGACGTGAGCTTGACAGTGGCCGTGATGCATCAGGCTGTCTCCATGGTGTCCGTGTACCTGCCAGCTGTGCTCATCCTCAGCTGAGACTGTTGCTCGCATCCCTGGTTTATTTGAAAATGTCAACACTGGTCCTGTCGAGTCTGAGGCTGTTGTCATCTGTCACCCTCCCTTCCAGGCTGGCCTGCAGGAATGAGTTTCAACTGTTTGGCTTTCTCAGTGTCTCCCATTTTTCTTTCCTTTTTTTTCTGGTTACATATCACATTCTTTCTGAAAGTCATTCCACAAGAGCGGGTCCTTCATCTGCTTTGACTGGTCTCGCAAAACTCGATGGCCTCGCTGACAAGAGAAGAGGACTGGGAGGCTGCCTGGTGAGGTCCCGGAGCCCTGCTCTAGCATGTTCTGTGCTTCCACTGTGACGGGCTCCAGGCAGAGTGGACAGCCCCTGGGGGACACTCAGGCTCCCAGGACTTGTCAACCTCATCAGCCCTGTTTCCAACTTGGATGAAGGGTGGACACGTCCACCACCTTTGGGTTCCACGCAGGCTCTGCCGGGTTAGCCCGACCTCGTCCTCTCCCTTCTGCTGTGCCCTCTACCTGCCGCATGTTCTTGGTGGGACGCCACGAGTGATGCCTTCTTTCTGTTGAGCTCACAGCTCCAGTGGGGTTTCTAGCTGGTCCTAGTCACCCTTCCAAGCTGGCAGCAGCCCATCAGCCACTTGAAGCCAGAGGCCTGCCTGCCTCTTGGTGCTGCACTGGCCGCTGTCACAATGTATTGGATGCCGTCCAGCCATTTCACTGCCCCGGGTCCTCTCTCAGTCTCTGTGGGTTTGCCTGTTCTGAACACTTTCTGTCAGTGGAGTCACACACTGTGTGGCCTTCTGTGTCTGGCTTCTCTCACTGAGCATCACTTTTCCAGGTCCATCCTGGGTGTAGGATGTATTTGAGCTTTATTCCTCTTCACGGCTGAGTTTACGCCATTGTCCGAAAGACCACATTTGTTTATCGATTGCCTGGTGGATCATAGTTTCCTAGGTGGCGGTCCTGGTGGGAGTCCGATGAGACCTGTGGTCTTTCTCTCTGAAGAACGTTCTGGAACAGTTGGCTCGTGATGTTTGCAGAGTCCCAGGCTCCTTAGATCCTGTCCAAGGTTCAGAATCCTCGTTTCAGGTCGCTTATTCGGAACCTTATTTTCTATTTACGAATACGTTTTTATTTTCGTTTCCTATAATTATAATCACACAAGTGTTAGGACTTTGGAAAGGGGTCCCAGGGTAGAGCAGTTGTAAGAGAGCGTGGAGGGATGCACGGTGGTGGCCTCTGCTCTGCAAGACTGTGGGAAAGGGGCTGCCTGTGCTGGGCCGGGCTTCCAAGTCGGGGTCAGCTTCGGTGTCCTACGATGCAGACACTCAGAGTAACTGGGGCTTGAGCACGTGAGGGCTTCTCCTCTCAGGTCAGAAACGCCTGTAGGTAGGGTGGACATCAGGGACCAGTTCCTCCTGTCTTTCTCCTCTGCCATCCTTAGCACCTTGCTTGGATCTGAGGCGGCTCTGGAGGAAGGAGGAACAAGCGAAAGGGCACATTTCTTCCCAAATCCGTCATTCAGGAGCCTTCCGGCAGCCTCCCACAGCGCTTCTGCTCACATCAGAGGCCGGGGCCTGGTAGTGCAGCCTTTTCCAGCTACGCAGGCTGCACACAGGCTGTCTTAATTGTCTGTGTTGCTTCCCAAGTAAAACTGAGGCCTGTTACCAAGAAACAGGGGGAGAGTCTTGAGCATTCAAGCCTTGTCTCCTCTTCCATGTGGCCCCAGGCCCAGGGCATGTCGGTCAGTTATCAGAGGGGAGTGAGAGGGAGGCGACTGTCAGTTCTGGTGCTGCTAGCCTCGCATGGCGCTGGACAGATTCCGTGTGTGCGGAGAGAGGCGGATGACAGATCTAATGATGGTCCCGGGCCCCCCCACCTCAGGGAAGCTGGCTGTGCCGGGCATCTCGTTTTTACCTCCTGGGGACCTTGCTCTGCCTGTTAGACTAATTTTCTAAGGCACCTCCTCTCTTTCTTGTTTAACTTTTTAATTTGAAAATTACAGAAACAACACTGTGCTCCCGTGTGCTTTCCCCATTTCCCCCATTGTTGACATCCTGTGGTCCAGGGCACTGTGGTCAAAACCAGGAGGTCAGAGCATCACATGTGCCCCAGTGCCATCAGTGCACACGAGCTGGCCGACCCCCGCATGGCTGAGTTCCTCCCTCCTAAAATTCATCCTTTCTTCGTTCCCAGTGTTCTCTCGCGGGCTGAAGAAGTCATCCCAGGAGCTGTACGGCCTGATCTGCTATGGAGAACTGCGGAAGAAGATCGGGGGCTGTGAGTAGGCTTCACTCGGGGGGCGGCTTCAGAAGGCGCGTGGCCGCCTCCTCTCAGGGCCTGCTGTCCTGCTGCTGCTGGGGACGATTCTCATTCTCCCCTACTTCCTTTTTGAAAACATTTTAACATAGAGAAAACTGAAAAAGATTAGAATGACTACCGCACACCTTTATTTCAGTTTACCAGTTACTCACCTTGGCCACGTTTGTGCACACCCTCTCCCCCGCTTCGTTCCATGCACCTGCTCTCTTCTTGCTCAGCCACGTGACTGTAAGTCACAGACATCCTAGCACACTCTACATCCCTCAGCCTCTGTCCCTGGAGAACAAGGACATTGTCCTGCTCACCCAGCATGTTTGATGTTTATCAAGCGGGTCCCATAATCTTACCTCATGTCCTGCCCAAACTCAGATCTCCCGAAACGTCCCAGCATGCTGACTGGGGCATGCCTGGCGAGAACAGTGCCTGATCACAGCTGCGTATCTTGAGTCTTGACCAAGAACAGTCCCCTTGGTCTTCCCTGAGCCTAGTTCTGAAGGCTCTGGGCCCCTCCCTTTGTGCTGCTCTGAGCATCTCCTCATAAGTAGATGCCCTTTAGAGGCACCCCTACTCTGGCCTTCCCGGGGTACCTGTGCCCAGTGCCCAGAGCCCCCTCCCCACATGACCACCCATGAGAGGCACCCTTTCCTCTCCAGCCTCCATGTGGCCGCCTGTCACGTGGATTGGGAGAGCACCCACCCACTGGGCCACTGTGAGGGTTCATGAGATGCTGTGAGGTGATCACAGCCGGCACCTTCTCAGTCACCTTACATGGCACAGTGGGCAGGTGCAGGACTGGGGTGTGGAAGCAACAGGAGGGAGGGTGGGGCAGGCATTCACTGGGTGACCTGCCGCCTTCTGAGACAGGCAGGAGTGCCTACGAGCCTCTGAACGAAGGGACAGGTGGCCTGGTTCCCTGCCCTGTTCTCTTGCAGACTGGACTTCTTTAACCACCCCTCCACCCCAGCTCCTCCTTTGAATGGTTTGTGGAGGGGCCTCAAGGGCCCCGCCTCCCTCGAATCGCTGCTCCCTCACCCCGTCCTTCTCTCTGTCCCCACCCTAAAGTGCTTCTGGCTGTGTGGCAGCATGTGGGGCCAGATGCCAAGGCCCCCTCCTCCATCTCCCATGTCTTAACCTCCCAGCCTGAGGCTTCCCCAGGGGAGGCTCGTCTCATTCTCTTGTTGACTTCCTGCTGCCCCTGGGGTGTCACTTGGGTCCTCTGACCCAAGGGGCCTCCGCACTTGGACTTCAGCCCATCTTCTTGCCTGCCTCTGGCTCTCCTGCCAGGCCGCCCCTCTGGCTCAACTGCTCCTGGTCCTGCTGACACACCTGGTTGGTTTACTCTCAGCTCATGTGCACAGGTCCTGCCAGGCGCCCCTCTGGCTCAACTGCTCCTGGTCCTGCTGACACACCTGGTTGGTCACTCTCAGCTCATGTGCACAGGTGCACACACATACTCGTGCACATACACACATGTGAGGCCCCGCCTGGGCTTGGGGCTCCAAAGCTGCTTCAGACCCCTCCACCTCCGTAGGGCCCTCCTGCTAAGCAGCCCCCCGCCCCCTGCCCAGTCCACATGCTGGGACACTGTTGTGTTGTTTGGTGAGTGTCTGTGGGGAAGAAACCTGCTCAGATGCCTTCCACAGCACCCTGTGCACAGTGGTGGTCCTTTTTGGGCTTTCTGGAGCATGTCTGAGCTCAGGTGGTCAGAGCATGCTCTTTATTAATGTACTTTTTCTAACTGAGATCTCCAGATGCATATGGTTCCTGGTCCTTTGACATGCCTCATCTGTGTCTCCAGCTCCGTGGGCGTCATCCATATTTGAGAAAGGGCTGTGGACCCCCCATTTTGACGCAAATGATTGGTGAAGCCTCCTGGGCTGTTGAGAGACAGGCCCACTCTTCCCCAGGCTCATGCCACACGGTGTTGGGACAGCCTGGGAGTCCTCACAGCTCTCTACAGTCCTCACCAGTTTGTTCAGACCACTTCTCTTCAAGGGGTGGTTCTTGCATGGTGCCTCATCTGGTACCTTGAATCCTGAAGTTGTCATGGCTCCATGCACTAGACTGTCTATGCGTCCATCCAGCCTGCCAGATGCGGGACCAATGGGCCCTTCCCTCCCCTTTTGCTTATTTACTCCGAGCTCAGCTCACTAGTCCATGAACCTCCATAACAGGCTGGCTCCTGCATCCCACGCTCAGCATCACCCCAACTGTCATTTACATGGACCAGTCCTTATGGGCATCATGCAGTGAGGGCAGGGCTGCATCTCTCTTGTTTAAGGCCTGGGTCTCTGTTGGCCCTCTCTGGGGCTAAGTGAGCCCTCTGCCCTCTGCCCGGAAGTGTATCTGGGCCCCCTTCCCTTCAGCCTGTCCGGCTTCCTTCTGTCTTTATCACGCGTCTGTGCTGGCCATGAATTACTGTCGTTGTTTATCTGAAACAATTTTTCTTCATGGTGGGAGGTCCCCAACCACTTATGTCCTTGCTCCTCTGTAGAGGATGCATTGTTTTTGTCTAGCTCCTTTTAAGGTTTTGTCCTTATCTTTCGATTTTGGCCTGGCTGTGTGTTTGTCGTCTGTTGTATTTTTTCTCCCAATACACAGAGGAGTTCAGAGCATCTTAACAGAGGCACCGTATCCCCACCACCTCACTCCCGTTCCCCCGTTACTATACTTCCTTTCCCGAGTATTCTGAGGGTTGCAATGAGGACCTGGAGGGCAGCGGAAATGGGGTATCTCTCAGTAAACACACAGAGTCTTGGTCTGTCATCTGGCAGACCCTGGGGACCTGGGGATTCAGAGCTGATTAAGGGGGGCCTGCAGGTGACGCAGGAGCCCAGCAGGAGGAGCGTGGGTGAGGCACGGTGGTCACCTGAGAAAGGAGAGTCTCTGGACTTGGTGACTGGGAACAAGCAGAGGTTCAGCGTAGCGGGGTCTGGGAGAGAGGTTTATGGGAGGGATGAGCTGTGCAGAGGCAGTAGTGGTCCTTCTACCTGAGGGTGTCTGGGTGGGCGGAGAGGACATGCATGTGGGGACAGTGCTGTCAGTGCACGTGACACGTTTGGACTCTGCAGGAGGGGCTGCATTAACACAGGAATCTTATTCCAGAAGACCTCGAATATTACATGAAGTGGTTTGGATTCTACGTTGAAGGTGGTTAGGTGGGAACGTTGATGCGCTCTTAGCTTCTTCATGGTCACACGTGTTCATTTTTCCATTTAAGGCATGGACGACAAGAACGCCTCGAAGCTGAATGAGCTCATTCAGGCTGGGTGAGTAGAGCTGGTGGGAGATGCTGCCTGTCCCTTCCAGGAGTTTGCACTTTTCTCTGAAATACAGACCTTGAGATGTGTGCAGTTTTCTCCCCTTTCCTTAGTGAGAACCATTAAATCCCCAACTCTGCAGAGTCAGCCCTGACCCCCTCTCAGCTGAACACTTGCCCAGGCCAGGGGTGGGGGTGGGGGTTGACCTGCCCTCAGTGTCGTTGGGGGAGGCCCCTCATCCTCCTGCGGGGCTCCTACTGGGGTGGCGTAGTGTTGGCTCTCTTGCTTCCAGAAGGCCATCCCTCCCGGCCTTCCTGTTGTGTTTTTCTGGTCTCCCTGCACCTCTTCTGATAGCGTTTTTGCCTCCTCTGCCCGCCAGTCCCTCTAGTGCCTCTGGGCGTGAAGCTGCATCTAACTCTCTGTTCTGCCGTCACTCTTGGCCTCCAAGGGCTCACGGTTTTCCTGATGACACACAACCACTAGGGACCCCGACTTAGCCCTGGCTGCTGTGACTGGTTCTGCCCCAGAGATGCTGTACCAGGACTAACTGCACAGAAAAGCCACCGTGCCGGGTCCTTGCGTTGTCCACCGACATTTTGGCTCACCTGCTGGCCCCCTGCGCTCTGACAACCATGCTAGTAGGTCTCCAGCCTCCAGCCCCATGTCTGACCCTGAGCCACTCTTCAGCTTCTGGGACTGCTCCCCTCCCCCTATACCGCTGCTTCGGGACTGGCTCAGCGCTGTCCCCAGCCTCTCCTGTCCCTGTACTCTCTCCTTTGGCCTCTATAAGTCTTCCCAGGGCCTCTGTTACCTTTTCTGGGTGAAGGATCCCAGATCTAACTTGTCCCACATTTCTCTGCTTCAATTTGTAAATTCCATTATGACCCAGATGTCTCCTGTGTGCCACCTGGAAGTCTCCAGCTGCTCTTCCTGAGATGTCCCCCACCTTGCACTGTGAGAGTCCCTCACTCAGCTGCCTCTCGCTCCTCTCTCTAGTCAGTTGAAAGCACTGCATGTGACCTGTCCTTTCCCCTCACCCCTGGCCTCTCTCACAGCTGCTGTGGCTCAGTCTGCTAGCCATGCTGCCATGCTGGACTCCATGGCCCAGCCCTGACCATCCTGTTCTGCGGTTGGGATTCTGCGTGTCTGAATTTCTCACCTGCTGTGGAACCCTCATTGGCGGCCGCCCTGTCCCTCCCACTCACCCTGCCAGAGCTTCCGTGCTGTCCTCTGGACCTTTCCTCTCTTTGTCGTGGATGGACCCATCTACCATCCCCAGACCTCTGCTGGTTGAAGTTCCACTGTCCCATAGGTCAGAGTGACCCTAGAAACAGTTTCCACTGGCCTCTGCTGTGTCCACAGGACTTTGTCTTCCTGCATCCTGGTTGCTTTCTGCCCTCGGCCTGGTGTTGGATGGCCTGGGAGCCCCTCCCTCAGGCTGAGTGCCTGCCCAGCATCTGCCCTGACAGAGGCTCGGGTCGGGTTCTCCAGGCTCTATAGCTATGCACTGCCACCCATTTGGAGCCTGAGAGTAGCTAGGTTGTAGGTATCAGTGCCATGTGAAAGAGCAGTGAGTCACCCTCACTGCAGGGGATTGCAGGTGGCGTGGCCAGCTCGTGTCATTGGGCACTTGGAGCCTCCTGGAGGTGTGGGGGAGTATGGTCGGAGGCAAATAGAGAGAGAGGCCACCGGCCTCGGCCCTGAGGGTTGGTTGTTACCACTGCCCCCATTCACCTGCTACAGCTTCAGCCTCTGGCCTCCCTTCCCACCCCAACACCTGCCCTGTGCCCGGCAGGTGGAAGCTGTTTGCTCTAGGATCTGAGATATTCTGGCCGGGTTGTGTGTATCAGGACTGTTATTAAGAAGGTGCAGGATCCTTGGCTGAGGTTTCTGATGTTAGTGTCTCCCCAGCAGGTGATGGAGTTGCCCTGTGTTGGAGAACTCTCTCCCGTGATGCAGTTTTGTTGGGCAAATCTCACTGTACGTTTGATTTCAGTTGCCCCAGGTTGTTGAGTGAAGGGTTTTCCCAGCTCTTTGTTCTGTGCTCAAGGGCACTGGGGCTTGTTTGATGGAAAAGCAGTGTGTTTGCTTGGCTTTGTCTTAGTTGTGTCTCGAGAGCCAGCACAGAGAAGAGATTGCCCTGTGGAATGTATGGGGACTGTCTCTTGAGTTTCTTGGGGACACATGTGCCTATTCCTCACAACTGATCAGGGTTATGAAGAAGACATGTTTTGATAAGTTTGAAAATGGCCAGAGGGTCAGTTTTAGGGCCTGCTGGAGAACGCCAAGCCCAAGGCTCTGAGCTGACCATCCAAAGGTAGGGGAAAACCCAGGAGCAGAGTTGAGGCTTCTCAGGCTCAGCCAGGTCCTGGCTCAGTGAAGCCCCGTGGTGGCTAGAATGGTTCAGAGCACACAAGGATTCCAGGGAGTGTGCATACCACACATCTGTTTTGCATCTTTATTTGGTAACATAATATTGAGTCATAATCTAAGTAAAAAAATTAATGTCTGTGAGTCTGTACTGATAAAAGCAATGATGGAATAAACAAATAAGTAGAAAACAAGAGAAATCTCCTGTGTAGAATTCCATGTAATTTATATAGACCCTCCGCCCTTGGGGGGTGGGGCATAACTTCCCTCACTTAAGTGTGGGCTGCCCGCTGTGACCTCTCTGAAGAGGATATATAGCAAGGACCGTGGGGGAGAAACTTGACAGGTGTGACCTCAGCCAGGAGATCAAGGTCATCTTCAACAGTGACAAGTCAAATTGATGGCCTGGAAAGCCCTGAGGCCCTAGGCTTGGAGGAGCATTCGGCAGATGGCTGGGTGCCCTCAGCTTCTGCTCTCTTGCTCCTTCCTCCGGGCCCTGTCATCGAAAGTGGTCTTCAGGGGTTGGTGTCTTCCCCTCGGCAGTACATCCTTGAGATGCGTCCATGCGGCTGTGTGGATCCATACGTAGTTCGCGCCTTTTGTGGAGTAGTGTCCCCAGTGTGGCTGTTCCGTGGTCTGTTCATCCATCCCCCCGTCAGGCACATGGGCCGTTGACAGACAGTAAATGCTCAGCACCAGCCTCCAGGGCTTTGTTCACCTCACCTGCGCAAACCCCCAGGAGAATGTAGTGGGTGTGTCCTGACTTCACGAGGAGCTGCCAAACTGCTTCCCACGCATCCCACACTTGGCGTTACCAGTTAATTTTTTTGAGTCATCGTAGTGTGTGAAGTGGTGTCTCATTGTGGTTTCGATGTGCATTTCCCTGGTGACTAATGATGTCGAGCATCTTTCTTGTGCTTATTGGCCATCTGTGTATATTCTGTGGAGGAGTGCCTCTTCAGATCTCACACCCATTTTCTTACCGTTGAGTTTAGTGTGTTCTTTATATGCTGTGGATGTGAGTCTTGTCAGACATGCGATTTGCCAATATTTCCTCCCAGTCTGTGGCTTGTCTCGTCATTCTCTTTAGCGTTGTCCTTCATGGGAGAGAAGTTTTCAACTTTGATGAAGTCCAATTTATCATCTTTTATGGATTGTGCTTTTCATGTCATATCTAAGAAGTCTTTGCTGAACTTGAGGTCACAAAGTTTTTTTCTTTTTTCTTAAAGTTCTATGGATTGACATTTAAATCTGTGACCCACTTTGAATTAATTTTTGTGCACGTTGTGAAGTTTGTCCTGAGGTTCAGTTTTTGGCCTGTGGGTGACCGGTTGTTTTGGCCCCACCTGCTGAGAGGCCTATCTGTCCTCCATTCGCTGCTCTTTTGCCCTTGTCCGTGGTCCGTTGATTGTACCATGTGGGTCTGTTTCCAGACTTTAATTCCGTCCCACTGATTTATTGTAGTTCTTTAACCAGCAGAGATCAGTTTTTAAGAACAGAGCAAAAAGCCTGTGAAGGTGAAACAGAGATGGGTGGAAATTGGTAAGGTGCCTGTGGAAAACTGCTCCTTGACTGAAGACCAAAGAGCATTGTGTATTTAACTAACTTCCTGTCCATGCTTCTCATGCAGACCTCTTCCAATTAACTGTCAGTCTCCTTTTGTTATAAAATTGTAGAATTAGATTAAGGAGTAAATGAACTGAGAAAAGCTCTAAAATTAAATCTTATTATATTGGTCACAGACCCAGTAGCACAGAATTTAGCACATGCTTATTAGATTTATCAAGTGGATTTATCAAGTGACTTTGCAGAGAAGAAAATAAACCTCAGATCCAAAAAGAAAGCCCAACTCTTGCGCACGTAGAGGAATCGCTCTGTTGCCTGTTTTGTCAGAGGGACACTAGTGGAGGGTTCAGATGAGACCCTCTGTGTTGTTCCACTCAGTCCAAGGTCAGGACGTGACTCTCCTGCACATGCTGAGCCAGTCCTCCATCTGTGCTGCTCCAGCCTCGTAGAACTTACATTTGTGAGCTGAGAAACCTCAGAGGGATTCTCTAATCGTAAAAAAGGGGCTGCTCAATTTCACTTTAAAAAAAAGAAAAAGAAAAAAGGAAGTCACAGAACAGTAGTTTAACAGGAAATGTGATTATCACAAACACAGGCACCATGTGACACGCACCACCCCCAAACCCCTACTCTTTAAATCCCGCCGCTCTGCTGTGTTACATTTGGGACAGGTGGGCAGAGCCATCCACTTGTGCCCAGAGCCCTTTGTTGGAGCAGATTGTCTTGAGAACTGACTCAACGCTGTTGGTCTCCCTCCTGCAGCCTCACCCCACATCATTCACACCTGCTGTAGTGCTTTGCTGCCTGTGTCTCCCCGGGGTTGACGTGGTTAAGTCTCAAGCCCTTGGTCTCTGTAGAGACTTTGTTCCCTGCAGACTCTCATCCTCTCTAAATCACCCCTCTTGACACAGTGGTTGGAGTGGGGTTGGTGGGGAGCTGGCTTCCTGAGGTCTTCTTGCCTCTTTGGCTGGGCTTCCAGAATCCCAGCTTTGCTCTGTGATGTCCTGTGTTTGATTCCCAGCAGAGGAAGGGCTCATTTGGTACTTGGATGGGTGGGTGGGTGGAGGACAGGTAGACAGATGAATGGAAGGGTAGATGGATGGATGGATGGACAGACGGACAGATGGGAAGGAATTACAGCTGCTGTGAGTAAGTTGGTGCTAGAATCCTTGAACTTTCTGTGCTGACTGACTTTCCTCAGCTATTAGTCCTGACCCCTGTAGGACCTTGCTGTTTGGCCCTCGAAATCTTTGCTTCAAGCCCTGCAGGATTTGGAGGTGAAGGTGAAATCCACTGTGAAGGGGATTGAGACTCAGTACTGCTGAAATCAGAGCTTGTTTCCCATCTAGGAAGGAGGAACATGCAACCCAGTTTCCCAGGAGGTGGAGCTGTAGAGAAGCACTCTTCTCCCAGGCCTGCTGGAGCCTGGCTGGCTTCTCCATCACACGTGTGCACTTGGGGCTGCTCCCTCAGTCACACTGCAGGGAGTGTGTGTGAGAGGCCCTCCCCTGTGGCCATCCACTTGAGACCACTGTTTGCATTCTGATCCCCGATTTTAGGCAGTATTGTTTTAGAATAAGACTTCTAAAAATTACACAAGTGATGCATGAATAATTCTTATGAAAATGTCACAGTATAAATATATGTAAAATATAAGACTACCCCATCCCACACCCCTCTCCAAAAATGATCACTTGACAAAAATTCTGTGTATCTTCTAAATTTTTCCCCTCAGGGAATTTATGTACGTAAATATACAGTTACAAAGACAAATATGTACAAATATAAACATATAATTTTTCCACACCTTTGGGAATACACTACATGCTCTCTCTTTTTTCACTGAATATTTTTTCACAGAATGTTTCTTAGAAACCCAGTAGCAAGTACAGAAGCAGCTGTCTCACCTGAAGTGATCACAGCTGGGAGTTGGTCAGCCTACCTTTACTGAGTATTTCTAAAGCCTTCCAAGTGTGTTATTTTTTGTGGCCTTTATATTCACTTCATCAGTTAAATAGTACTATTTCTTTAAAGTATGTAATCCTAACACTATGTAAACTACTACCCCACAGTGTTCAGATGGCATGTCTCCCACAGTGGTGACGGATCGTGGACAAGCCCTGTTGACTGGGCCTGCCTGCGCGTCGGGGTGGGTGGTGGGACACAAGCACGTGACCCCCATGCCTGCTGGTCACCAGTGCCCTGGACTCCCTAGGCCCTGCTGGTGTGGTTTACAGAGGGACTGGGGAATGTCGCTGACATGGAGAGGTGGTCACTAGAGGTGGCTTAAGAGGTCACGTAGAGGTGGATAAGCCCTTCTGCTCTGGAGGGACCCCCAAGGAGGGTGGTGGAGCTTGCTGTCTGATGTCTGAGGGGGGATCCAGTGAGTAGGCAGGAAGGTGGGGTGCACGTCCTGAGCTGCGGGCATCCTCTTGGTAGCGTGAGGCATGCTCAGCAAGGCAGAGTCACAGCTCTGTCATTTGTGTTGTGTGCACCTGCCTGCGATCCTGGGACATGTGGGGCCTGTCTTGGGGCGGAGCAGAGCACGAGCTCTGGAGGCCAGGATGGGCACTCAGCTGGGGCCCTCCAAGCTCCATTGGTGCAGGACAAGCTGGTCTTCGGTCAGTGTGCTGGGTGGGAAGTGACTGTTCATTTAAAACTCCCTTCCCAGGGCCACCACAGTGCGTTACAAAGGAAGGAACCTGCGGATCAAGGCACCCATGTGCCGAGCCCTGAAGAAGCTCTGTGACCCGGACGGTAGGTCAGATGCTGGCGGGGTGGGCCCATCAAGGGATGTTGTCCAGCTGAGTTGGGAGCGTCTCACAGTGGCTCTGTGCCTGAGCCCACATGGTCCGGTCCTGCCCGTGGGCAGCTCCTGGACTGGAAGGAACCTCCTTGTCCCAGCGCTGTGTCCACTAGTGAATCAAGCCCATTCAGAAGCCACAGTTGTCCTCAAACAGAATGTCTGTGGTATCCAGGCGAGTCTCCCAGGGCCTTAGCACTGGCACTCCTCGAGGGACTCCTGCCAGCCCTGCTTTCACCACAAGGCTACCCTCTGCTCCACTTTTGATGCCCTTAGACATCCGGCCAAGGGCTGGGCTTTCTCACTAAGGTCCATCTATGCCAGGCGCTCACGACTCCTTCCTGTCGCAGGCTTGAGTGACGAAGAAGACCAGAAACCAGTGCGCCTGCCCCTTAAAGTCCCTGTAGAGCTGCAGCCGCGGAACAACCATGCGTGGGCCCGCGTGCAGAGCCTCGCCCAGAACCCACGGCTCAGGTAGTGTACTCGGTGTTTGGGCGAGTGAGCTTTGAGGGATGGGGCTGGAGAGGGCAGCGTTGGGCTCCCTCAGGGACTCTGGGTGAGCAGCAGTTGTCCCTCCAGTGCTCTGACCAGGTGCTCTGCGTTCTCTGAGATCACAGGAGGGGAGCATGGGGGGGATGCATGGCACGAGGGAGCCTGGAAGCACCGAGCTGCAGTTCTGTACTTGGGCAACGGTCTTGAGGGCTGAGAGTGGATGTAAAAGGATACCACGGTTGCAGGGTGGTGGCTACAGTATCTCTCCCTCTTCCCCTGGAGACCCCTTTTCTTTCCTCTCCTACCATCTCCCTGATTTGTGTCTAATTTACGCACAGGGTACCACTAGGTCTGGATTGTTCTCTATTTGCATGTTGTTTTTTTAGATTCAGGTAAAATTCACATAATACAGAATTAACAGTGAGCCCTTGTGAGGGGCCCAGTCAAGGGCGCTGGGTACCTGTACAGTGTTGTACAACTGTGACCCCAACCTAGTTCCAGAAATTTTCATCTCCCCAAAAGGAATCGCTACGCCCACTGAATGCTCACTCCCCATCCTCCTCCTCTCCCTCTCCCAGCCACCGCCAGTCTTTCTGTCCCTATAGATTGGCCTGTTCTGGACATTTCACGTAAATAGGATCATACACTAGTCCTTTCTGTCTGGTCTCTCTCTCTGAGCGTCATGGTTTTGTCCATGCTGTACTCAGTGTCAGGACTTCACTCCTTTGGATGTATTTTTATTTCCTTGGGTTTAATTATGGTTAGATCCACCCTTCTTGAATCCAAAAGGAACTTTGTAGAAGAGGATGGTGGGTGGTACCAAGGCCTATGTCCTAGTTGAGACCTGGTACTGTAAAGGGCACACGGGATCTTTTCTTATCTTTTCTTGCAGCTTCACATGGGTCTCCAGTTATCTCAATTTAAAGGATTAGGTTTTAAGAAAAGGAGCCAGTGGCTCTCCTGGGACATCATTGGTGCCCCTTCCAAAATCCCATGGCATCGTCTTGCTGCTGCAGCCCCTGGGACCTCTTGAGAAGGTTCCCTCCTCATGTCTGAGCCTCCCATTTCCTGTCTTGTTTCTATGTAGGATGATCGTGGAGCTCCATCGAAAAGTCTCCAGCCTCATCGAATTCTTAAAGCAGAAGTGGGCACTTCATGAAGTGAGAATTGTATCTTTTTCTTACTAAAGCAAGCCCTCCCCCAACTCTGCAGCACCCTGCTGCCTGAGTGTAGGATCTCCCTTTTTGATCCTGGGATTGCAGTGGGGCCCATGGGGCAGAGCAGCTTGCTATGAGATGATGTAGAATGGCTGGTTGTCCTCTGGGTTTTGGGTCTGAGGCCACTTTCGACCTCCCTGCAGCGTTAGACCTCTGTCCACCGGCCCTCCATGGTGTAAGTGGCTGCTGTCTGGCCCTTGGAGTATGGCCAGAGCATCCCTGCCAACAGGTTGAACGAAATGACCAGGGGCAGCCCCAGACCTAACATCTTTGTGGCCTTGGCTTGCAGCCCTGCCCAGTCCCCAATTAGGAGTGCGAGTGTTGATGGTGAAGTCCCCAAGGACAGTGGGCCTGGTGGGGGGGCGTGTGCTGCTGCGGATGGTTCCTTAACGTGTGCTCAGCGGAAGACTTTGGAGGAGCGGCAGCTACAGGACTCATTCTCGGAGCCGTCACAGGAGAAGGTGGCACTGCACCTGTTCCCGGGAGAGAACTGCACGGTGACACCGCTTCCAGGCGTAGCCCGAGTGGTGCACTCAAAGGCCTTCTGCACCGTGCACTGGCAGGAGGGTGGCCGGTGCAAACAGAGCGCCAAGGACACCCACACGCTGCCTCCCGCCCAGATCCTAGGCATCCAGAGTGGGCAGGGCACAGCCCGGGGCCAGCTGAAATGCCCGCGGGGTGGCGCTGAGGGCAAGGGCGGGGGCCGACCCCCTCCCTCAGCCGATGCCTCACAGAGCTCTGGGGAGAGTTCCCCTGAAAGTGGCCCTGGGGAGGGGGCTGCCCCGAGTTTGAGCAGCCCGGATGCTCCCGACAGGCTTCCCCCTGGACTCCAGGACACTGGGGGACAGCTTGAAAAGACCCCTGTGGCCAGTCTTGCAGAGGGTGTGGACGGCCCTGCTGGGGAGCCTGGAGCCCTGGCGTGTGCCTGCAGCCAGCTCCCAGAGCTGGAGGATGAGCTGTCCCTCCTCGACCCCTTCCCCCGCTACATGAAGTCTTGTCAGGACCTCATCATCCCTGACCAGTGCCGCTGTGCAGACCTGCGGCCCTCAGGGTGTGCCTCCCCAGAGACTCGTGTCCCAAGCGGCACAGAGGTGGCTGACCTCGCCCGGGCCAGGGCGTTGTCCCCTGTCCGCATCCCACCCGGCCCAGAGCCTCAGCCCAGCCCCGGGCTCCAGCCGGATCTTTGCACTAAAGACTTGGCAGACGCGCCTGTGGAGGAGCCCCAGGAGAAAGTGAGCCCCGCGGACCCCCCACCACCTCAGGGTCAGCCTGCTGCCAAGCTGCCGAAGGACGTCCCCGCCAGCCGGCTCGCCCAGCAGCTCCGCGAGGAGGGCTGGAACCTGCAGACCTCTGAAAGCCTTACGCTGGCCGAAGTCTACCTCATGATGGGCAAGCCCAATAAGCTGCAGCTGGAGTACGACTGGCTGGCAGTGCTGGGCCCTGAGGGCCAGACCAACGGCGGGCAGGCCCAGGGCCCACGAGCCGGCTCCCCACCTGCTGCCTTCCACAAGCAGCGCCTCCTCAGCTGCCTCCTGAAGCTCATCTCCACTGAGGTCAACCCCAGGCTCGTAAGTGTGGGTGGGGGCCCTCCAGGGGCTCACAGCTGGGGGTCCAGAGAGGAGAGACCAGCCTTGTGGCGGGCGCCCAGGGGCCCCACTTTTCACTCCCTGGCGTAGGCTGCACAGAGCATGTGGTCAGGCCCTGGTTCCCTGCAGGTGTGGGTTCTGGTCCTGTGGGACTCAATCTCCAAAGATAACCACCAGACCACACCTTACCGCGCTCTGGTGATTCCACTGAGCCTGAGCGTTCAGGCAGAGGGACAGAGGTACAGAGGCATGGTGGCAACCGTGGCTGGGAGCTGAGCTGGGGTGGGCTTTGTCTAGCATAGGAACGTTGCTGCCTTCAGCAGATGGAACGACAAGGCTGAGTGCACACTTTGGAAAGGCCGTTCTGGGAGGACGGCAGTGGCACAGCCTTGATACGGGGAGTGGAGCTGGGAGGGACAGACAGGACACTGAGGCTGTGGGCAGCACAGTGTGGGGCTGTGCCCAGGAGACCTCCGCGGGCAGCTGTCCAGGAGGCAGCTGGTTGGAATGGTCCGGGGCTCCTCAGGAGGCTTTGGGCCTTGAGGTGCCAGAGCCCAGGCAGTGGCTGTGATGGCCCCAGGAAAGGGCACCATGCCGGGTGGGCCCAGCCACAGCCTGTGACCCCCTACCTGGGGAGGTGGCCAGCAGAGCCCGTAAGTGGGGCCAAAGGTGCTATGACCAGAAGGTCTAGTTAACTCCCCTGGCATGAGAGCAACGTTCTGAGGCAGACGGGGCTGGAAGTACAGCCCTTGTATCATAAGGTGGCGGCTCATAGCCTCTGGGAGGAGGGGCTGGTGGAGCTCATCGTGGCAGCTTCACAGAAATTGGGCTCAGGTCACATTCAGAACCAAATGCTCCCACTTCTCCCTGGCAGACAGCATGCAGCCTGCACTTGTTCTGCCACTGTTTCTGGGAGCGTCTCCCACTGGACTCCTGTCTGCTGTCTCCCGGCAGTGCTCAGCAGAGCACTCGGTGGGTGAACGGGCATCATGTGAGACACGGCCCTGGCAGGGCCCGCAGTGGACTTCTTGGCCCACAGGCAGGTGTGGGTAATACTGTAATGACTGGAAAGAGACGATGAGGTTAGAAAACTTTTTCAAGTTTGGCTTTTGGGGGAGGTCAGGAGAGGATACTGGGGAGATGGGAGCAGGTCCAGGACCCTAGGGAAGGAGGTCAGGCCAGGCTGGCTCCCGAGAAGGCAGCAGTTCCAGAACACAGCAAGGTACTGGCCTTGGCCTCACCTGAGAGAGGAGAGCAGAGCAGGTTGGACATGTCATTGTAGAGAATGTGAAACAGGGCACTCAGAGCTGTGGTTCCCAAAGTAGGGTCCCCAGCCAGTAGCCCGAGTGTCACCTGGGAACTTGTCAGAGATGCAGGTTCTTGAGGCCCAGGAAACCATGTTTTGACACCCTATGATTCTGATGCAGCTCAGGTGTGAGAATTGCTGGCTAGAGACCCTGTCATAGACTGGGGACCTTGAATTAGAGATCGCCTGCTTGGCCCTGCAGCCCCTCCTGTGGTTTCTCTGTGGGGCAGGGCTCTGACAGATGAGGGCTGTGGGCAGCTGGGCCCCAGAAGACTGCTGGGCACTCAGGTGGGAGGTTAGGTATTGAGACCGAATGAACTGAGTAGGAGGAGACATGGGCAGGGGTCCTGGATGGGAGAAGGTGGGTCAGGACTGGGCCAGAGGGCCGTGGGAGGCACAGGAGCAGGTACAGAGCAGACGGGGCTGGGCCTAGAGCTTGGGGAGTGAGTTCTGTCACTTGGGAGCCCCAGAGAGGTGTCTGGTGTGGGTGTGAGGGGAGCGGGGAGGCTGGGCGGTGATGTGGCTGAGAACAGAGGTGAGGGAAGGGCTGGCTCTGTGGTGGGGCCGTGGCCTCAGGCAGGGCTGACAAAACCCCTGAGGTTAGGATTTTGACTCAGCAGAGGGCTCTTTGGCTGTGACTGTGTTTGAATTTAGGAATTAAATCTGTATTTCCTCCCTCTGACTCAAAGTCAGAGGAGGCTTTAATAAGGCGAGTCAGTGTCGCTTGCCGTCCAGTGTCCCTCCCGTCACCCTACGACGGTGAGGCTTATCTGAGCCGCTGAGGCCGTTAAGGCAGAAGGCGCTCGGAGCACAATGCTGGTGTCCCTGAGTGCTGCTGGCCTGGTGGCTTCTAACCAGCCCGCTCCCTAGTGCCCTGGGGATGCTGACCTGCACAGCCCAGGCATGGTCTCCAGGCCCCTTGCTGTCCCTCCATATTCGAGGGTGTCTCCATGCCTCCTGCTTGGGGTGCGCCGTCTGGAAGCATCATTCATGTGCTGAGTTTGGCTGATGTTTTGGCCCATTTCTGTCTCAGGCTCCTGAAGCAAACACTGGCTCCATGGCCTCAGCAAGGCCAACCCAGGAGGAGCCATCGACGACCCCCCCGGGGAAAGTGGTGACCGTCAGCTCCCGGAGCCCACGCTGCCCTCGAAACCAGGCTGCCCTCCGCCATGGCAAGACCTTCTCTTCAAGCTCCGCACCCTGCTCCTCAGGTGAGGCTCGGGTGGCCATGCTCAGGCAACCATCTTGCACCCTTGCTGGGCGTTGGGGGCCACACAGAGCTGAGGGCCCAGGAGTGCCTGGGGTCTGGCTCAACCCAGTTGGCCACAGTCTGGTGGACGGTGTGCAGGTACAGAGCTACCACTTCCTCGTAGGAAGTACAGGGCCTGTAACAGAAGGCTTTTGGGTCCTGGGGTGCAGGAGCTGACTGGAAACATGGGGGACCCTTGCCTGTCTGGTCACTTGGGGCACCTTGCTTTGTGCGGTCAGCAGAAGCCTCCAGGTCACACTGAGTTGGTGTCTTAAAGTCTGAGAAAGGTTGATTCTTTCTGAGTCTGACTGAGACTGTTTTCCTTTACATTGAAGTATTGGCATAACAAAACCAGCAGTTCAGGGATCCCCAGTTGTTGAACACAAGTCTTGAGAAGAAAGATGGGCTCACCTGCTGTTCCACAGTTTTATCTGAGAAGTAATTTAAATTCAGGGCCTTACTGGATTACATGGCACCTAAAACCTGGGATAAATATGACCTGTTCCTGTATCAGTTTCCTTGCTTAGTGTTTTTTTCTTCATAAAACAAATTATCATGGCCAGACTCATGAATTCTGCATGAATTTTAAGGAATAAGAAATGTGCATGTTCTGGGGTCCTGCCCCTCCATGCCCCAAACATGAGTCTGTGGTGGTGCATCTGAGCCCTGCTCTTCTTCACCCAGCACAGCCCTGCAGCTCCTCCCCAGAGGGACCTGAGAGACGGGGGCAGGACCACGGGGCTGGGGACTGGTGCGTTTCTTTGTGTCCTGTTCCCCGAAGGCCCCCACACCAGGCAATCAGGGCGTCATTACTGCCTCCATGGCGGGATGTTCTTGCTTCAGAACCATGTCCATCCTAGTGCCTTAAATGTCCCACACTGGACAGGGCATCTCTGGTAGTAACCCATGTGTGTCATCTGAGAAGCCATCCACTTCTGTTTACTCTGATCTTGACAAGTGCCCCCAAAACTTGTAGCAGCTGTTTAGCTAAACAGACCTAGTGTCCTGGTGTGTTGACAGTTCTCTGGGGTTATTTTCAGTTTGGAGGATGTCATGAGCTTTGTGTTTGCTCTTACTGTGTTTTAAGTAGCCTGCCTGTAAAATGCTTGAGAATTCTGTTTCCTCAAGAACACTTGGCGGTGGCTTTTGAAAAAACCAAGGCTGCCATGGTGTCGGGCTCCCTACCTTCTGCACTTACCTTCTGTTTCCCTCCTCACCTTTATCCTATTTCCTTGCTGTGGCTCATGAGGAGGGCGGCAGCAAACTGTGAGTCAGTTGTCCTTATAGGTGAAGGCACGTTAATCAAACGTTGGTCGATGATAGGGCTGGCTGGTGGGTTGTATAGTCTTTTCCTGCCTTCCCTTCTGGATTTAAATTTTTGTGACTCTGAACTCTTCAATATCCACACTCTTTCTCTCAGTTGAGGATGCTTCTAGCCAGGGCACCTGCAACGCTAGAGTCCAGACTGGTGTTTAGAAGACCTGGTGTCTGGACTGTATGTCGATTTAATCACAAGGATTTACACATAAAGAATAAAGAAAGGGGACCTGTCCCTACCAAGAAGTGAGGGTGCTCTGCTGCAGCACCTCTGATGATGAAAAGAACGAGCAGAGTCCCCAAATAGCAGTTCCTGGATAAACAGTTCTGTCCTTATATCTCTGGGTCTGTTTTCTGTACTATCAGAGACAGAGACCAAGGATCAGCAAACCGTGGTCCCCAGCCTGCTCATCATAAAGAAAGGTTTTGTGGTTCTTTGTGGTTCACAGCCACGCTCACTGGCTACCACGTGGTCCGTGGCTGCTGCAGTGCTTGCAGCCGCAGAGCTGAGTTCAGCAGAGACCGTGAGGCCCTCGAGGCTGCTGTTTGGTATCTGGCACTGTCCAGAGAACGTGTGCTGACCTCTGGTCTGCAGTAGAGGATCTAGAAGGTTTTCCTAGCTCTGAAAAGTCTTCAAGGGTGAATATCCCCTTCCCACTGAGGATCAAACAAAGTGGTAAAGTGCTTTATCTTCTCAAGGAAAGTCACGATCTGCTCATAGTGGGAACTAGAATTCCAGGGAGAAAGAAAAGCAGATGTTTATGGGACTATGATACAGGAAATTCCTTTCAAGGAAACCCGAGAGGTTGTCGGGAACTCCTTTCTGATTTTCTTCTCCAGAGAATTCCCTTTGCCTCGGAGACGTTGCCGGGGGAGTGGAGTTGTGCTCATCCTCCCTTCTCCTCTAGGTTTGAGAAACCCTCCAAGACACCTCCTGGTGGCTGGTCCCTCTAGTACGGGAGGCAGTGACGCAGATGGGGGCCTTTTTGCCGTCCCCACAACTTTGCCACCCAACAGCCGACACGGGAAGCTCTTCTCTCCCAGCAAAGACACAGAATTGACTTTCCGTCAGCATCTGAACTCCATCAGTGTAAGTGCGGCGCCTCAAGGCCCTGTTAGCTGGGGCTGTCCTGTGTGGGCCAAGAAAACTCTCTCAGGGGTCGTGCGCTGTTTTCCTTACAGATGCAGTCGGATTTCTTCTTGCCAAAGCCCAGAAAGTTGCGGAACCGGCACCTGCGGAAGCCGTTGGTGGTCCAGGTCAGGAATCCTGTCCAGGCCCGGGTGCGCCCGACCTCATGGGGCCTTTGTGCCCGGCCTCTCCCCGCCTTCCCAATGACTGAGCTGCCTGGGACACACTGGTTTCCTCCCATGTCTCAGATCCCTGCCCCTCCCTCCTTCTCACGCATAGGGTAAATGAAGTAGTAACAATGACCCAAAAGGTACCTGAAAATAATCTTTGCACAGCATGAAAATCGTTTGCACGAAAGACAGAAAGTTCTAGAGATCCGAGTTCCAAGAATGTCCCAGATTGGGATATATTTGAGGGCTCTCAGAATATCTGTTTATAAATATGTGGTCAATAGAAGCAGTTGGCAAGGTATGTGGATTGGCCACAGGCCAAGCCTCTCCCGAGCTCACAGTGAATGCTGGGAGGCTCCGTGGGGGCCATCTGCAGACCCGGCGGGAAGAGGCAGGGAGTAAGAGGCACGTGAGAGAGAGGACGTTTTTATTAGGAGGTAAAAAGATAAAAGAGGTAAAGCTGAAATTCTGAAATAACCATGGGCTCAAAATTTCTTGAATGTTTTTGGATTAATGCATAGGCCTCTTTCTGTTAGACTCAGAAATCTCTTCCTCTCTTGACATTAATTTATTTGGAAATGAGAGATTGCACGACAGATCTTAGGAAGAAGATAAATAGATAAATTCTAAATCCCAAATATTTTTTGAGCAGGCTATTTTAACATTATGGCATTTAATTTTAGCGTATTTGGTTAAATATGTTAGCTCCCGGCCCGGAACACGAGAGGACACCACCTGGCTGAGAGGAAGCTTGTGGCTGTTTGGTCGGGGGTCACAGCCAGGGTGCCCTCGTGGCCAGTTGCCATTTTGTTTTGTTTTTAAACAGCTGTTCTGATACGTAATTCACAGATCGTGAAGCTTGCCTAGGTCAAGTGGACAGTTAGTGGTTTTTAGTACGTTCACAAGATTGTGCAACCAGCAACACTGTGTAATTCCTGAACATTTTCATTACCCCAGACAGAAACCCCGACCTGTTATCTGTATCGTCCCTTCTCCCTGCCCTTGGGCCACTTCCTGTCTTTAGGGATTTGCCTCTTCTGGGCCGTTCACATAAACGGAATCACACAGAATACGTGGTCTTTTCCATTTACGGTCTTTATTAAAAGACTTGTTGGCACAGGTCCAGGGTCCTTCCTTTCCGTTTTGTCCATGCTGCTGTCACACCACCAGGGGGACTTAGCTGCAACAGAGACCATGTGGCCCCAGAGCCTGGCCCTTTCAGAAAGGCATGGCGCTGGCGCCGGGCACCTGCAGCTCCTGACCTTGTTCACAGTCACCCCGCTGGCCTGGCCCCTGAGCAGACCCCATAGCCTCTGCCCAGTGGTGCACCCGAAGTGGGTGCCTCTGACTCTTCTGGGTGGCAGACACTTTGTCTGTTTTACGTGGATGACTGACAGCTTCAGCAGTTACTGCTGTTTCCTCTTGGATGTCAGCTGTCGGCACTGTCGAGGGGCTTGAGCACATGGGAACCTAATGGTTCATGCCTGGGCGCCCTGTGCCCGGGAGTGGGAGCAGCAGGAACCAGACGTCGGGTGGGGCGAGCGCCTCAGGGCCATGGCCCCTCAGTGTTATTTTCTTCACCCAAGTGTGAGGAGGCCCCAGATAAGGGGGTATTTTGTAACAGTCCATATCCAGTGGTTATCAATGTTTATAAGACTAGTTGCATTCAAGGCAGGTCCACAATGTTCTAGACTAACGGTAGGTCATTCTGACACCCCCGGTTTCCCCTGGGAGAGTTGATCCCCTAAATTCTCTTCAGAGAGGACCCAGTGTTCTGGGTCTGTGTCCATAGAACACAGCCGTCCCCAGACTGTCCCAGGAGCCTTGGATTATCCACTGTAGAATCGGAACCCCATCTGGTTACACTCAGTCCCTCTTGTCTAGAACGTTCCTTTATGATCCAGCACTAGTTTCCAAAGTGATTTTTGGTATTCGGGGGTCTTTTCATCACCTGATTGTTGACAGTTTTCCCTCCGCAGAGAACACTGCTTCCTAGACCATCTGAAAACCAGTCCCACAATGTCTGCTCCTTCTCCATCCTGTCGAACTCTTCTGTCACTGGTAAGCACCCAGGGCTTCTCAGGGGCTCCCCAGTCCTCACTCGCATGGCTCCGTCTTTCAAAATGGCAGGCATTTATTTCCATGGTTCTTTGAGTGACGTTTCAAGCATCCCTTTGTCCATTCTATCAACACACACTGCATGAACGCCCTGTGCTGGGCCCGGGCTGCAGTGCGGGCAGGTGAGCCCCTGACAGGTGGTCCGCCAGGCAGCTTCCTTCCAAAGTGGGCTCAGATGGCCCTGTTTGAGATGCTTTGCTCAGTTCAGTTTAGAGGCGGATCTGTTGTCCATCCTCGGCAAGGTCTTGTCAGGCATTTTACGGGATGGATGTGTTCATGCTTTCATAGCTCTGTAAGCTCAGTGGGGCCCTGGCTCTTTGAAGTGAGTCTTCTTATATAGTGAGACTCTTTCAGTGAAACATATTCTGTGATTTATCTTTTTAATCAGTCTTCATTTTCACATTTCAGATTTAATTATTGCAAGACCCATACAGTTGTCAATTGCTTTTTCTCACACCTACTTTTCAACTACAGAAAACATACCAGGAAAGAGCCAAGTTGCAGAGGCAGAATCCTGACACTAAGTCTGGTGCCCTGGCTGCCCCAGAGGAGCCTGTAGTTTAACTCAGGTGCAAGTCACCCTTAAAGGGGCATTCCCATGAGATGACAGTGGTGACCACAGCCTTATGGCAGCCCCCAGGAAGCATGGTGGTGCCTCTGTCATGGGTGACAGGGCCTTCTCCCCCTTGGGCCCTGTTAGACCTCTGACTTCTGCAAGTTAGCGAGCATTGGGATGTTCAGTGGTTTACAACCCAGCTCAGCTGCTGGGACCTGGACCACAGCAATAAAGGAAACCCTCTGTAGCCCCCAGTGTGTAGCCAAGGGGCTGGGCCTCATGAGGCTGACACATCTGTTTCTGTTCTCGTCCTCACAGGGCGAGGCTCGTTCCGGCCCATCCAGTCCTCCCTGACCAAAGCGGCGTTGTCTCGGCCAATTGTGCCCAAGGTCCTTCCACCCCAGGCCCCAGGCCACCTTGCCAGTAAGTCTCTTGGCCCAGCATGGTAGCAGACTCCCTGCAGGGGTTCTGAGTCATGTTTCTGCTTTCCTCTTCTCCAAGCCATGGCATCTCATTTCCCTTCAGAGAGGACATGAAAGCCCTTGGCCTTGCTTGGGAACGAGGCTTGAGCGTGAGTGGTCCCTCTTGGGGCAGGCTTTGGATGTCAGTGAGCAAAGATTTGAGACATTGCTTCTCTTGCCAGGTGCGATTGATTTAGCGGCTAAGAGTGCCGGCATCATCCCTGGGAGCCCCCTCCCAGTCTTGGATGCCGAGGGCTTGCCTGGCATCTCTCCCCTGTCTTCAGACGAGGTGACAGCTGCCGTCTCAGGTCAGGACTCTGCCAGCACCCACCAGAATGGAGACCCCATCCCCGACGTAGGGGTGAGTGTATCTAGAAGGGCTTCACTCTCCAGTCCTGAGGAGAGCCGAGGCCATTGGGCTGAGGTTGCGCTGGACCGAGTTCTGCCTCTGGAGGGGGTGGGCACTGAACCCAGGACCTTGTGCATGCTAAGCATGCATTCTACCACTGAGTATACCCTCCCCCCTGAATTGACGGTCTTATGTTTGGGAACTGGCGGGTCCACGTTCTTAAAGCACTGTCCTCACAGAGAGAAGTTTCCAACCTATATTCCTGTGCTTCTGCCTGTTCAGAGCTGTGGGTGGAGAGGCTCTCTCCTTGGGAGCTTGGTCCCGGCCAGCACTTGGCCAGTTCTGGCAGGTTGTGTGCCGGTTGCTCACTGGCTCTCCTGGTGTTCTTGCAGGGCACAGGCGACCCGTTCATCAGCGTCCCCTCGAGGCAGGAGCCGGTGGCAGATAGTTTTCAGGTAGAATGTTCTGTCGGCTGCTGAGCAAAGTGGCTGCCCCAGGACCCTGTCCGGTGCCTGGTCCCCACTCTTGTAGTCCTTCCAGTGGACCCAGGCCGCCGCCTCCTTGATGCCCAGTGCTGTCCTTCCTGCGCCTGGCCTAGATGTGATCATACATCTCCCATCTCAGGCTTCTCTCCTCCCCTCTGCAAGGCTGGGTGACTGAGACAGAGTTATGGAAGCACTAAGTTTTCTGGGTCAGAGAGGAGGAGGTGCTCCCTGGCGCTCACCCTCTGCCCGGGCCTTACCAGTGTTCCTGCTGGTGATGGGAGAGGAAGATCCAGGCCACCTTGGCCTGGCCTCCCAACTCTGCCATCCCTTGAGGATTTCAGAAGTCAGCTCCCCGAGTGTGTCCCTTCTTGGGAAGGGTGAGGTGGCTTCTGGGGTCATGGCCTCCCTATTGGTTTCCCTGTCACCAGTCACTGCTCCACGGGGTTGATGTGTCATTCCTCTCGGTTGTCTGACTGGTCATGTCTGAATGGTACTTGCCTCCACCAGAGTTCGCCTGTCCTCTCCTTGTCCGAGCTGTCCAGGGCTCCTCTCCACAACGGCTCCTCAAGCACCCGGCTCTCTCCACCCAACGTCTCTGCTCTGCTGGACATCTCCCTGCCCGGCCCACCCGAGGATGTGCTGTCGCAGGGAGAGCCCGCCACGCAGATCAGCGACTCCATCATCGAGATTGCCATCAGCTCTGGCCAGTACAGTAAGGAGCAGGCCGCCCCGCACATCCTCCGGAGTTGGCTCCCCTCTGGCCCTGACCTATCTGAGTCGTGGCCAGCCTCTGGCTCTGTGGCCATTCAGCTCTCCTGGGCATTGAGCATCTGCACCTACAGGGCGCAGCCCAGCCTTGGCAGAGGCAACACATATGACAGGGCCTAGACAGGACCTGGGCCTGTTCGTGGTCTGGCGGGACTGCCCCAGCCTTGGGAGACAGCCGGCCACGAGGCCTCTCCAGCCTGGGAATCAGGCAGGGCAGTGTCCTTGTTGGTTCTGAACCTGGGTGGATGTCTGCAGGGTTGCATGTTCTGAGAGGGGTTGGACCTGGTACCTGTCGGGGTTTGGGTTCTGCCAGCTCTTGGGGCCGGCACTGTGGTATTGGATGGTCGGCACTCGCTGGTGTAATTCAGACTGCTGATTCAGACAGAGCTGAGCTTACAGCCTGGCAGCGCGTGGCCGTGGGCAGGTCACCAGCTCATTTGGGCCTCAGCAGTGAGTTGGGAACAGCGTGCACCTTTCAGAGCTGTGGTGGGCACCATGAGAGGGTTGAGGTGATGCTCTCAGCACAGGGCCTACCTCCATCAGCTGCGGCCCTTGTTGTTCTCTGAAGACAAGCACCTGTCCCTGCTGCTGGGGCATCCCCTGGCAGACCCATGTTGTTCATTCTTAAGGAGCCCCAGCAGGGTCCTGGGCCCCTCTATTCGGCGGCACACGCTGTATGACCCCATGGCCTTCTTGGTGGCAGGTTGGGGAGGTGGGGCCTTTCACCCCCGTAGCATTTCTGACCCAGGATTTTGGTTGACAGGTGAAGGAGTCCCTCTTTCTCCAGCAAAACTGAATGGCAGTGACAGTTCGAAGAGTCTTCCCTCCCCATCCAGCAGCCCCCAGCCAGACTGGATCGCCTCCCCCACCCACGACCCCCAGTGGTGCCCTAGCGACCCCACAGACTCATCGCTCAGCAGCTTGTTCGGTGAGTCCAAGAAGGGCACATGGAGCTTTGTCCCGGATCAGCCCAGACCAGCAGGCTGGAGTCTAGACTTGCCACGCTCTCTGGCAGAACTCCCTAGAGGACTGTCCCTTGGATTTTAGGGCTGGTTTGTTTTTTGTATTACTTACATAAAGGAAAATGTCCAGACCCAGTGTGCAGGTCACTGGGCTTTGGCAAACATGCACACCCCTGTAACCACAGCCACTTACATCCCCAAGGACAGTCCCCTATGTCCCTCCCCAATCCATCCTGGTATCCTGGCCCCTCCCTGACTGGCGCTGGCTGTGGGCCAGGTGGTAGAGGCCCCGGGTGGGGCGGGAAGAGCCAGTGCCTTGTACTTTCTTGGCTCTTTCCCTCTTTCTGTCCTGTGAGTGTCCAGCTGTCTTGCCCACAGCCTGTTGGCTACAGACTGGAGCACTCACAGGATGTTCATTCTCACTGGGCACCAGGTACTCATGTGATGGGAAGAGGGTGTCAGGGAAAGATGCACCAGCTTTGATTTCCTACACAGAGGAGCCCCTGTGGCACTCCTAGGATCATGCTCTTTGCATTTTTATTTTTATTTATTTTTATTGGGGGAGTAATTCGCTTCATTTATTTTTAATGGAGGTACTGGAGATTGAACCCAGGACCTCGTGCATGTTAAGCACATGATCTACCACTGAGCTCTACCCTCCAACCTCTTTGCATTTTTAGAGAGCAGGCAGGGTGTGCATGTGGTCATTGTGACTGGTGGCCCCAGAGACAGACATACTATATACGAGATGAACCTAGTCAGCACTGGTTCAGTGCAGGCACCATGCCTGACAGCCCAGAAGCTCTGGCCTGGGTGGTGAGGGGAAGTGGGCACCTGACGAGTGTTTCCTGCTTGGAGAGTCACATAGAACAGTACAGATTCTGCAGAGTCAAACAGAAATCATAAGAGATTGGAAACAACCTTACCTGGAGGTTGGGGTGACCAGACAGTGGAACACAGTGGGGCCCCTAGGAAAATGAGATAGACTTCCACGAGCTGCACGGGGAGCTCTCGCAGGCTCACCATGGGAGGAGAGGCCTGTGCGGCCTGGATCCTCCCCTGGATTGATGCAGACCAGGCCATCTCAGGGCACTTTCCTCTTCCCTGCAGCGAGCTTCATCTCCCCAGAGAAGAGCCGGAAGATGCTGCCAACCCCTGTCGGGACCAACAGTGGCACCTCCCTGCTGGGCCCCAGCCTCCTGGATGGGAACTCCCGGGACTCGTTCGTGTCCAGGTCCCTGGCTGATGTCGCAGAGGTAAGTGCACCACCTCACACCCAGTCCCAACCGCCACCCCCCGTCCAGCATGGCCAGACCCCTCCGGCAGACCTGTTTGGTTATTCAGAACTGCTTGCTAAGACTTGCACTTGAGGAGGTGGTGTTTACAGACCCAGGTCTCTAACTCCTGAAGGGAAGCTCTGAGCTCTGCCAGTACTGGGCCAGGGTTCAGGCTGCTCTGAGTAACAGCTGAGCTGCGGAGGCACCTGGACCTGGAAGCCCCAGAGCCAGAGTTGAGCACAGGGCTCTGAGTCCGGGAGCAGCAGTTCCCAGATGCCGGCTCCCTGGTCTGTCGGGGTGTTCCTGGGGTTCCCTCAAGCATCTCATAGTTAGATACCTGGGGGAAGCCCTGGATGGAACAGAGCTCACACAGCTGCTTCCCAGGACTCCTCAGCTTCTTGGTGTCCTGGCATGAATCTCGAGATTAGAAGGGATTTTGAAAACAAATCTCACTGTTTTTGAAATTTCTTATAATAAAAAGCATACAATCAGTTCCTGCCACAGCTCTACTCAGAATTCTCTAAAGGCTTCTCATTTGTTCGTTACATCAAGCAGCTTATTAACGAATATTTATTGAGGGCTTGCTGGGTGGCAGGCACTAATACAGGCGCTGCCTGGACAAAGCAAAGGCCCCATCCTCACGAGGCTTCCAGTCCAGCGCAGGAGCAGGCTGAACCCCTGGCTCTGCCCAGAGAACACAGCCTGATGCCAGAGGCCCTGCTCTGTACACTCCATCTCTCTCCTTCTCCACTCCTCACCTCACTCACTGTCCCCCCACCATTTTCCTCGTTTCCTGAACAGCCGAACCTGTTCCCACCTCAGGCTTTCCCACCTCCCACCTTGGTACTTGCTGTTTCCTCTTATGGGAACGTGCTTCCCTCAGGTCCTTACCTGACTTGCTCCCATACTCCTGCTCTTACTTCACCTCAGAAAGCCCTCCTCTGACACACATGCCCACGGTGACTCTCCCTTTCTCCACTCCCATCTCCTTTGGGCCGCCCCAGTCTCTGCCTCTGTGCCCTCTGCCTCTTTGTCCATGGACCGTCTTCACCCAAAAGCCTGATGTGGAGGGACCTACCACTCTGATCCTGACAGCTAGACGGCCCCGGCTCACAGTAGGCTCTGGGGCACATTTGTCCAAAGAGTGTGTGTTGAGAGCGACAGAGGTGATTCTAAAGTTCTCCCTGGAATGTGGGGCCACCCTGATGTGGCTGACCGGGGGGACTCTAATCCTCACTGTAGAGAGACTTGCACTGAAGTCCAGACCGGGGGCCAGCCGCCTGATGATGTGGCCTTCCCTCATGTCCTCTCTCCCGCAGGTCGTGGACTCCCAGCTGGTCTGCATGATGAACGAAAACAGCATTGATTATATATCTCGGTTCAACGACCTTGCCCAAGAGCTGTCCATCACTGAGCCTGGCCGCCGAGAGGTTCTGTTTGATGGTGGTGGAGGTGGCCCCCCAGTAAGTGACCTGTCCCAGTGACTACACCTTGTCAGGGGGGTCATCCTGGAGGCTGGGAAGAAGGCCTTTGGGGTTGGTGGTCCTCATGTCATATGTGTAGCCCTCTTCAGAGGAGAGAGAACATAAATTGAGCTCTGGACTCCCCAAAGACAGCCTGAACAGAGGCCCCTCTGCACCCCAGAATACGAGACACACAGGCAGCCATGTCACATGAGGCCGAGAGCAGCGGTGGTCCAGGAGATGAGGAAGCATCCTGGAAGGCCAGTGTTGGATGTGGCTGAGGTGCTGGCGCGGCCCCCTGCTGGGCTGGGGCGCATTATGGTCTGTGCAGTGCCCGTGCTTCCGCCTCGGGTGTTGTGTTGGATGTTCTGGCGGGTTTTCTTTCTGAGAGAAAAGAGTAGGTGTGGCTGTAGTCATTAAGTCCTGGGAGCAGTGACCTCCCGTTCTCTGTGGAGAGGCTCCAGGCTGCTGCTTGCTTGCTGCCAAACCTGCGCTGTGCTACAGTTGTTCTCTCTGCAGAATGACGACAGGGAGGGCAGCTGGGCACGGCCTGCGCTCTGCCCCGTGGTGTCTGCACCGTGCAACAGCGGGCACTTCAGAGGACACTGAACACAGGGCAACAGGAGGGGCCCAGGGCAGCTGCACAGGTGCCATCTCCCCGGAAATCCTGACCTTGCCCAGTGCTTCCCTTAGCTGGAGGTTGTGTTCTGACTGCCCTAACAGGAAGGGAGGGAGAGAATCGTGTCTTACGCAGGTTTTGTGGACTTTTTAAAAAATTCTGCTAAGCTGGTTGGAAAATGGTTTTCTTGTGTTTTAAGAATTAGGAGACGTGTAAGAAGCAGAGCAGAGTCCCTGTTTGGTTGGCTTCTGCCCTGTGTCTGTCTGCGAATTTCTTCTAGGTGGTCTAGGACATTACTTCTCTGTAGTAGGAGAACTCCTGAGCACTTGTTTGACTATAGATAAGACTTTCCTAAAGAGTTCTTGAACTTCTAACGTTACTGCCTAGCATCAGGGACAGATGCCCTTTGCAGGGAAAGTCCTCTCGTTCAGAGTCTCCTCTTCCTTTTGCTGGCATCATTGCACAGGATGTCCCGGTGCATATATCTCATCCCTGCTTGTACTTTTGCCCCGTGGTCTCCTGTTTCTCTTCTTCCCATTCAGGGAATCCAAGCAAGGTCAGGCATCTGGGTGCAGGCAGAGCCTGCTGAAACCACATCCCTCCGGTGTGCTCCTTGAGCATCCTCAGGGGACCAGTTGTCACCTCGGCAGGTGGTCCACTATTCAGTCTTTCCCAGAATGGCGCTAACAGGGCTCTCTGTCTCCTCAGCCTGGGCGCAGTGATGGGGGTAGGGGGTTTCGTCCAACACAAAACCCGCCATCCAGCCACATCCCCGTGTCTGGGTGCCAGTGCCACGGTTTGGGTAGGTAATCCCTCCACCCGGCAGCCAGAATCAGTACAGCTTCTTGAACTGTCTCTGTTCCTCACCTCCCTCTTCCCCAGCTTGCTGTGGAGTGGCAGCCTTCAGGGCCAATCCTGGCTCTCTCCACTGGCCTCTCCCGGTCTGCCAGAGGAGGTGAGCCAGTGTGAAAAGGAAGAAGGTTCTCTGCGTGGATGATCAGAGTCGCTGCCCTTGACTCCATGGCCTTGCCAGTGGCTGCAGCCACTTTAGATGTAGACATGGTCATTCACGCCAAGTCTTGGAGGAAACAGAGGACATCTGGCCTCCAGGCAGTAGCTTCCTCCCTTCATCTCACGCTTCTCTCAGAGCGCTTGCCTGTGAGGTGGCTTCCCTCCTTCAGGTCTGGATCTAGGCCCAGACATCACTAACAAAGGCCAGTGTGGGCAGCTTTTCTGGGCTCTTAAGAAAATAGCCCCAAAGCTCCAGAAGACCGAGAGAGGGGATGTGCTACCACTTTGTGAAGATAGACAGCAGTATTTGAATCCAGAGTATCTTTAAACTAACTACTGTGATCAATAGATCACCTTCCTGAAAGGAGCACCTTATTGAGCCAGACAAGGTCTGTAGGTCGCTCTCTGGGCATCTGACTTGGTTAGATTCACAGTAGGTCAGGCTGAGTTTGGGTCGCTGCTGACTTTCTCATAGAGATGTCAAGTAACATCACCGAATCAGTGCTGGGGGCAGTGTGCACCTTGCCAGGGACTGTTGAGGTCTGGAGCTGCTTATCCATCAGGGGACACCCTGAGGTAGGCTGGTGGGTAGGTTGACATCTAGAGGGAGGAAAACTCTGAAGGTTTGGGTCAGCCTTTGTAGGCCTTTATGTAGCAGCACCTCCTGCTTGGGCCTCTTGAGTAGGCGCCATCAGGGCCAGCGTTGTCCAGTGGGGAGGTGGTATCCAGAGGAAAGTGGACCGACTGACGCTTCTCGCCTGTGACAAAGCTGATGTGATTACAGAGAACTCTGCTTCTGTAGCAACCAGCTGTATTAAGGAAAAATAGTGTCATTTGTGGCATTAAAATGATGGCTGCATTTTCTCCCAGCCTAAATGATTATATACATGTGAAAATAAGCAACTGTTAAAAGGCTAGAGTTTTTCAAAAGACCTCCCACTTCTGCCTCTTCCTTTGCCTTTCCAGCGGAAGTCGTGAGAGTCTCAGTGTGTCCCTGTGGCTCCCTTTGGGCATTTGAGCATGTTGTGTTTAAGACCAGATCAGTTGTTCAGAAAAATCTCTTGCCTAGTCACTCTAATGTCATCTGGGATCTTTCAGCTGATTCATCTCTTTTAACAGTTGAGACTGAGTATCTCCGGTCTCAGGGGAGCTGGGTTTTGGCCTTGATTCTTTATTGTGACTCTCCAGAGGTAAGCATTCCATACTTGAAGATGCATAGGCAAGATGAAGTTCATGATTCCACAGTAAGGTTTGTGGTGGCATTTTTCTCATCTCTGTATGGTCTAGGTGTAGAGTACTTGCTCAGGGAGGGGAAACATTTCACCGGTTGATCTGCTTGCTTTCCCACATCTCTAGGTCCCTAGCCATCAGTCTCATTCTCTCTCATTCTGTACCATAGGCTCATCCCTGGTGGTACCTTTTCAGTTTAATAGCGTCTTGAACTAGATGACACCACTGAATCCGAATGTGAGCAAAGAAAAGTCATGGAATAAAAGACACTTAAAACAAAGGGAGGAGGAAAACAGCAGTTGCTTTTGCTTTTCTTTTTTAACACTGAGAACTAGCAGATGCGTTTAGGAGGAAATGTGGCACTTTGTCTTAAGAAAAACAAAAAAAGGAAACCCATAGCAAACCCTTCCTGACTGTCAGAGCTCTCCTAATCCTACAGTAACTCGTAAGTCATGTTAAGTGAGTTAAGTCTTGGAAGCACTACAGCAACCTGTGCCCTTTGTTCTGTAACAGGATTCCTGGCTCTCAAACTACAGTTGGGGCAGCAGAACTTATTGCTGTTTCTTTTAATAATCGTTAAGCCATATCATCTAAGGTTTTCGGCTTGTTTTGAGATGTGAATTTGTTTTATAGATTATAAATATACATATACAGTGTATGTATAAAGCTGAATGCCTGTCCTTCCTGATTATTTTTTGTACTATATTGTAAATTATATTATTTATTCTTTACCAGTTTTGGGAATAAAAGGTGTTTGGTTATTTAATATAATAAACAAAAGCTGTTAAACTTCTTATGTTTAAATTTCCAGTTCAACTTGTAAATCTGTTTTTATTATTGTGCATAAATACATACTAATACTTGATCTAATAATTATTGTTTCTGCATTTTTCTTTTAAAACGTGCACAGAGGGTCTCTCCAGAGTCAGCCCACACTCTGTCTATGGAATGTGTATCTACCTTTACTTTAACCACCCCCCCCACATCCCTAAATAAATATTTTTACTCAAATAAAATAAATTTAAAATAAACAAAATGTACAGGTAGGAAACAGCCCAAGTGGCTCTCATTTGGTGAGATCACACAGGAATTGATGAGCTGTCCATTGTGTAATTTAGGGAGAAAACACTGCAGAATTTGTTTTATTTTTGTTTTTTTGCCCACAAATGAGACAGCTGACACTGTCCCTTGCACCCACGACGTGCAGGACAGACGAACTGCCATTACGTTTCCTTTGGCCACGTATCTGCGCACCACTGACGGGACTGCAAAAACCCAGCGTCTCTACACAACCGCGCTCCGCGCCAGGCCCTTCCTGAGGCTCACCCGCAGCACGACTCTGGGTACGGGAGGCGGGCGGGAGGCTGTGCCAGGCCGCGGGGCCACCGGCCAGGTGCCCGGACAGCGCCTGACCCCGCCCACTTAAGGCCCAATCCTCTGCCGGCCTACTGCCCAATGGCGGCGCCCGGCGCAGTGAACGGCAGCTGCTTTCACCAATCGTCTGCGAGCGCGGCCCAGGCCTCGCCAAACCTCCTTCTCGTGGGGCGGAGGCCGGCACCACGATAGGCTGCCGCGGCGTGACTGGCTTCGGCAGTGTCCAATGGGGGCTGGCGGGCGGGCCTCAGGCCGCGCGGAGCC